CCTGGCCTCTCCTGCTGGTCCTCCCATTTTCAAACCATCATCTTCTGTCTTTAGGGCCAGTAGGAAGTGATGGGGTTGGTGGACGATTGTCCCTCCCAGTGCCGTGGGTAATGCCTAGACGGTGACACAGGGCACAGAACGCAGGGAGGACTCCACGTAGAAGTCTGTCCACTCGCTCTCTTTTCAGCTGTGACCCTGGGGGGATGTCCCTACAGTCACGAGTGTCGTCCCCTGTGCTGGGCCTGGAGAAAGGAGTGTGCTGCCGTCCCAGGGCCAGTGGTTCTCAGCAGCACAGGGAGTTTGGGCTGGAGCGCCGCGGAGCGCGGGCCCTGCTGACGGCCCCTGTGCTTCCTGCAGTCCTTCGTCACCTGCGTCCTGGGCATCCAGTTCGTGGGCTACGTGATGATCTGCTTCTCGGCGTCCACCGCGCTCTGCTCTCTGTTGTTTGGGAGACTCTCCCACTACACGGGCAGGAGGGCCATCTACGTGCTGGGTAGGCGCCCCCTCCCAGTTCGGCAGTGGAAGGGGGGACAGCTCAGAGGGCGCGTGGGGCCTGACGGCACAGGTGCCACCCCGTGGCTCGGAGGCCAAGGAGTCTGTAGAACATTTGACCAGGGGCCCTAGGCCCACCCTCATGAGAAGCCCCCCTGCGGTCACTGAGTCTAAGTCCCCTCAGCTTAGGACCTCCCGAGGTCCAGAGAAGACGGCCCACCACCCCCAGGCCGAGGCGGCTGCAGTCCAGGGGTCGGGTTCTCCCAGGCGGGTTGGGAGCCCAGAGGTCCACCCCATCAGGTGGCCGATGCCCCAGCTTGCTCATAGGCCTGCGGTCCCCTCACACTGTGTGTCGGCTAGGCAGGGGGCAGAGGAGGAAATGCGGCCCCTCTGCTGGGGTCTGAGTGCCCACGGCACTGCCTGTCCTGCCCCTCCCTCTGTCCCAGGTGCAGCCACCCACCTCTCCTGCATCGTGGCCCTCCTGCTGTGGCGTCCACGCTCCTCCCAGATGGCAGTGTTCTTCCTGCTCCCCGGCCTGTGGGGCATGGGGGACGCTGTCTGGCAGACGCAGAACAATGGTGAGTGACCAGAGCCCAGGCCCTCGGCCCCCTTGCTCAGTCACTGGGCAGATGGCAGGGGAGTGGGCAGCCGCTGGTGTGGCCGTCAGAGCCAGCCAGCCCAGGGCTCCATCAGAGGCCAGGTGCTTGCGTGGGGAAGGGAGAGGGAGCCCGGGCTGTGAGGGCTTCTCACCGAGCTCTGGGTCTGCAGTATGTTCTCTGAGCGTCTGTTCAGGTCCATCTGTGCGGGGTGAGGCCACCTGCATGGCCTGGTGGTCCCTGGGTGACCAGCGGCTGAGCACAGAGAGGGAGGAGGAGAGAGGCCGGTGGGGTTCACAGAGTGGGCGAGATACAGGCAACAGACCACAGCATGGGGGACCTTGAGCTGAGGGACGCGAGGCCACGGGAAATGGTGAGGCAGACACTGGTGGTCCCCCGGCACAGAGATGGACAGGACCAGAACGCCAAGGAGAGGTGAGCGGGTCCAGGTGCAGCCCCTGAGAGCTGTCCCCAGGGACCCCTGATGTCCTTGGAGGACTGGTGACAGGGTCCAGGTGCAGCCCCACTGAGCTGTCCCCAGGGACCCCTGA